GAATCTTCTTTCTACCGACTCTCTCTCTCTCTCTCTCTCACACCCTGCTCTGGCTGCGTCTGTCGGGCCTCAAAGACCGGCTGGTAGCGTGACTCCGGACAAATTATTAAATATATTATATAATATTTTTTGAAAATCTTTATATTATAGAATAAATAAAGATAATTTCAAATATAATTTTACAAAATCAGAATATTAATAATAAGAATTAATGATATAAAATAAGGATTTATATCAAGATATAATAAGAAAATATAAGAAATATGAAGGGATATAGAATGACAAAATGAGATAAGATGTGATGAGAAATAATAAGATAAGATTAAGATGAATTGAGATTATAGGAAATGAGATCTTATGATCTAATGAGAATCAAGGTTTCCCGAGCGGGAATCCAGTCCGGAGGGGGGAGTAGGGCGTTTCCATACAAAGGAGCTGACTGGCACCCAGACCCCCAAAGCTACTAAAGCAGAGGTATAACTCCAGCTCGGTACTGCTAGTGATTATGTATATAGATATATATATATAATAATATAATATAATATAATTCTGAATTGGTATATGTTCAAAATAATACAAAAATCAAATTTTAATTGGGTTTTGATATATATATATACATATATATATATACATATTATATCACACTACGTAGTATAAATATATATATATTTTTAAAAAATAATAATATATTCTAATCAAATACAATTGTTGAAAACCTATTATATATGCATATTGAAAATTGTTCGTATAATCTTAGGTCTTGATTTTTATTGCCATATGCTTTGTGGCACATCAAAGTCTTCAGCCCCAAGCTGGGGCAACATCTTCAGTGCTGCCGCAGAAGCTTCTTTGACAAAGCCTGCTGGGTCCTCCAGCCCCACTTCCAAAGCTGCTCGCGCCAAGCTCGTCAGACCTGCGACTAAAGGCCACCTGCTGTGTCTAGCAAAACCATGGTTTATTAATTGGGGAGTTACTCCCCAAATAGTCATAATCCGATAGTTAAATGGTATCCCCCCAATTAAACAGCCGTTTTGGGTTTATTAATCCAGGGTTGACATTACAAGACCACTGACCACATAACTGTGGTGTTGAGCTCACAAGTGGCCCAACAATGTCGAAAGCAACAAGGGCCGAAATGTTCCCCTACTAATCGTGGCTTGTGGCCCCTGCGCCTTTATTGTTTCTCCCGATCTGTCCAAGAGAATAGGCGCAAGCCTGAAGGGACACGGTGGACAAATGAGGCTCAAGTCAAGCCAGCATGAAACCTTCTTGTCGTCCATGGATTGTGCATCTTCAAAGGTTCAAGTCAAGGTATCCTCCCGCGATTTAACATAGCTATGGAAAATCACCAGGTTTAAAGTGCAAATCATCTATGGGCCATGGTTATAGCAAACTATTAAACTGCCAGTCCCCTGCTATCACATGGCTAATCTTTGTCAGAAAAAGTGTGGGTATCGCATATTCTCCCAGGCGAACCCCACCAAATGGTATGTTTTATCAACATTTTCCATACCTCAATAGAGCCCCTAAGAATATCCCCCGAAGGATCCATAGCGATCCCGGAAAAGATAGAACCGTTCTTCCAGGCTGCTAGTTCGATTATATTTATAATTACCAGGTGTCCAACTCTTCTATCTATTTTTGGGGTTGCTATGTGTCACAATATGGATCTCCATAACAATGCCAAATGGAGAGAATCATCTATAATATATATATATATATCATTCATCAAAGATTATCCACAGACATTATAAATATATCATTAGACATCGATTCCCATTATATTATAGATTGTATAATTCAAATACTTAACTTATTAAATATATATATATACATATATTACACATATCGGTTCCCATTATATCCCCATATTCCCATTAAGTCCCCTTATTGGCGATATGTCCGGCCAAATCCTCCATCTCGAGCAAGGCGGTGCCACCATAGTAACTAGTTCGTTATGTCACCACAAATAGTGTAAACCATAGTATAAACCATAGCAAACCTTAGTAAACAATGCCATAGTATAAAATTAATGTAGTCTCGGTAAATTAAACTATTTCACTCACTTGAATTTCCAGTGAGGGAGAACAGTGAAGTCGTTAAAATTTACCCAGAAGTAGCTATTTGCACCAAGTTGGCTAGCATCAATCATCGGTAAATCCCATGAAATCCACCAATGTTCCTTGGTGAAATCAGCATTTTACTAATAACTATATCCCCAAAACCATAGTAACTATAGATAATAAACCATAGTAATTAACTAAAGGCTATGTTTAGTTACTGTAGTTATAGTTTCCATGATAGTTATAAACCATAACAGTTCTATAGTTATACAGTAATTCATAGTAATCAACTATAGTTCTATAGTAGTCTAAGCCACTAAAAACCATAGTATATCTATAGATTCCCATGGTATCCCCATATTGTTTATATGAATTATCCATAATATCCCAATATTGGGATTAAACCAATATAATCAGCTGCGATTATTCCCAATATATGGCAAAAAATGTTCCAAACCACCAAAATAATTCATAGTAATTAACTATAGTTCTAACCACATTATTCCCATGATAAAACCATATATAATTATATTGCAGGCCATATATCATATATATCCATAGATTCCCATAATTATATCTGTGGGATTATTATTCCAATATATTCCCCTGGCCCCGGCCTCCCTCAGCTGCTGCTCCGGGTCCCGCTGCAAGGTCTGTGCCAGCGCCAAAAGCTGCCGCTCCGTGGCCAGCTCGCACCGAAGGCCCAACCTACCGGGAAGGGCTGCCAAAACGTGGCGCTTTGGTGCCGGGAATTCCCAACAAAATAATGGAAAATGATGGAAAAATATGGGAAAATGATGGAAAAATATGATCAAATGATGGAAACATATGGGTAAATGATGGAAACATATGGGAAAATGATGGAACAATATGGGAAAGTGATGGAACAATATGGGTCTGTCAGGTGCGATGGATGACACGCACAAATCACAGAAGTGCACCTGTATTACCGCAGGCATTTTGGTTTGGAAAACAGGCACGGGCTTTGTCGTTGTCAAGGGTTATGAGCCCAAACCCTCGCGTCTCCACTGGGCTTTTGAAATAGCCATGGAAGTTGGTGGTTCTAGATCCCATTCAGTGCCTGTTGGGGATCGAAGCGGCCCAGGTGGATTGGAGGTCAATCCTTTCTACTCCCAGAAGGCCAAGGACCAATGCAGGTTGGATGCTGCGAGACCTAAGGAATTGCCTGCGCAAGAAGAAGAAGTTCTAGCTGGAAGTTTTAGCAGTCCTGAATTGGCAATTCAGTCCAACGTGGATGGCAACCCTACTGGAAAAGGTCGAGGAAGTGCTTCGGCTGGTGTGATGCCGATGGATGAGACCGAGGTGGGGATCCGCGTGTTGAAGACTGAGGGAAAATTGCCAACTGTGGCTACTGGAACCAATGGGGAACCTGAAACTCTTGCAACGGGTGATGGAAATGGTTTGCAAAGAGCTTTGGAAGTAGAAATGGTTGATTTTCATCCCCCTTGATTGATGGGTAGGAACCCGTGCCCCACCATTCCATAAAAACCTGGTTTATGTAATGGTTGGGTACAGGTATATTTGTATAGAATGGATCCTTTTTTGGGCTTATATATTATGGAATACCACCATTGTACTACCTAGCAGGCCGGATATGCAAAGAAATGCTTCGCCAGTATGTTATGGAAATGGCAAAAAAATGAACTCTTGAAACCAAGAAAATTTGACTTGTATATTATGGAATTGGTTGTTTTTTGAGGGAGTCATTTTAAGGTATCTTAAGATATTTTAAGATAAAATTATTGTTTATGTTCGGACACGTTAACATACCAGAACGATCCATTTTATAAACAACATAGGTGTTTGTGAAATTCCCCTTGTATGAAATGGAACGTCTTCCATATATGTTTACCCCACATTTCGGTGTATAAAATGGATATTCTTCTATTGTTTCTATATTTCGTGTTTCAAATACTAGACTTTTCATGATTTATCCATTTTATACACTTCTTATGGCTCGAGGACTTCGACCCGGCAGGGACGGGGCAAACACGATGGGATTCACACCGGGACAAAACAACGGGGTAACACAACGGGTAACCAAACAGGGGGGAAAAACGAGAAAATGAGAAATGTCACGTCTATACTTGGTTATATGGATTATATGTGGTTATATGGGTTATATGTTGTTTTATGGGTTATGTGGGTTATTTGTGGTTATTATCCACAATCTTATATACATCTATATATATATATGTTTTTTGTATGTTTTATCCACAATCACTTTTCCAACATTAAGTGGTTCATTTTCAAGACATCGATCGCTGAAAGAAACTTCCATTTGATTAACAGATCTCCAAGTTTCCGTAAGTGTTCAAACTGGAACCTTCCAAAAAATGGCAAACAACATTTATATTATGGAAATGCCGATTTTGGGACTAATGATTCCAAAGAAAAATGCAGCTGTATGTAATGGAATTACCATCGTTTTGTGTGAAATGGAGGGGTGCAACATGGTACCAAAATTTAAGGGTTTTTTTCCCCGTTTTCCAAGATGGGCCGTGTATGAAATGATGTTGGTTTTTCCATTTCATACGGGGCATGGGTTCTTCCATTCCATACAGGTACAGTCAAGGGGGATTGATTTTCTACGTCAGCAAAATTCGAAGCTACAAAACGAAGTAGCGGCTCTCAAGGAGAAACTGGAAAAGTCTTCGGGGGCTGGTTCTTCACCATGGTCAAGAATAGACGGGATTGGAAGTGGGTCGGCTAGTGATTCACAAAAACATGACCGTCATGTGAGAAATGGTAGCAGAACACCTCGTGGTGCTGTTCGTGAAGTTGCAGTTAGTCCTGAGAGAATAGCCAAAAGGGATTCACTGAAATTCACACCAAATGGTACTCGTGTGCCGGATGGCCCACCGCCAACTGCAAGAGTCAGCTGTTTGCCTCCTGTGCCACCTTTGCCAGTCGTTGAGAATGAGCAGGTTGGGGGTAGTCTGCGTGTGGGCACCAGTTTTGATGATGGACTGTATGATACATGCGAATCAAAACCGCGTGTGAAAAATGGTGATGCTCAATGGAAACCTCATGATGAAAAAGGGAATGATGCAATTCTTTCTCCTCAAGAGGCAAAACAAGCATGGTTGGAAAGGGAGGTTCGGTCTTTGAAAGTTGCACTGGATAGGGTAGCTGTTCCATCAACTCTGACTGAATCTGCGTACTGGAATCCGTCCGGTGGTGCTGGCAATGCGCATGGAAGAGATCTACGTCACTTGCTTGGAGGAAGTGGTGAAGCTGCACAACAAGTTTGGGCTCAGCATGATGGTCTTCAAGGCGGCGTTCGGGCTTCGAATGGTGATCTATGTGGACAAGTTCGGGCGTCGAATGGTGGTCTATGTGGCACTGTGCTTGGAGATCTACCTGGACATGATCGAGCTCTACGTGGCGCTGTGCATGGTGATGTTGCTCTACAAGGTCGGGCTTTGCATGGCACGGTGCTTGGAGATGATGCTCTACGTGATGCTGCGCTTGGAGATCTACCTGGACACGGTCGGGCTTCGCATGGTGGTGTGGCAGAACTTCGTGGACTTCATCGTGATGAACGTCTTCCTGGTGGCGCTGCAGAACTTCACGGTCTTCCTCGCGACGGATGTCTTCATGGTGGCGTTGCAGAACTTCCTGAACTACATGGTCTTCCTCGTGACGGACGTCTTCATGGTGGAGGAACTATGGGTGTCGCACCAATGCCGGCATCATGGGAAGCATCTGGAGGTGGAAGTGGTGGAAAAGCTGAGCTGCCAACGTTGCCGAATGGCGCATCGCCGTTGGAGTTTGGAGATTGGCTTTGTCTTTGTGGTCCCATCATGAAGGATCTTTCCCATGTTGCTGGAAGATGGTGGGATGCTACGGTGCGACAAGCTCATGCCTTCTACATGGAATGGAAGGGACTATCTCCTCTACAACGAGTTCAACTTTGTCCTCGTCTTCCTGATGAGCTGTTGGCAAGTAGCTTCATCAGAACGGAGCAGAGGGGCGTCACTTTGTTGCTCAAGGCGGTGAGCGAAGAGCAGCAAAAGGAGCTGGTGGTGGATCGAGATTTGACCAGTACGGCGATTTTGTTCCGCCTCTACGTGCGGCATCAACCAGGAGGACCAGGTGAAAAGGCAATCCTCTTGGGGCAATTGACCTCACTGCAAAAGGCATCTTCGATGCAGGAGTTGGCTTCGTCCTTGAGAACATGGCGGCGATACTTTGCAAGGGCTAGGGAGGTGGATGCAAACTTGCCTGATGGAGTGCTGCTGATAAAAGCACTTGAAGCTGCGGTTGTCCAGATCGCCAAGGAAGATGCCCAAGCAGCGTTCAGGCTCTCCACAAGCCGACAACAACTTGCACTGGATCAACGTCCAACGGAGCAGTCAATTTGGAGCTTCAGTCAATGTTTGCTGGCTGAAGCGGAAACTTTGAGTTTGCTGAAGTCATCCTCTACCACAACAACAAGTGCGAGCACACCTGTGAGGCTCAAACAGATGGATGCTGAAGCATCACAAAACTCACCTCAGAAGCCTGGCACTCCTGGAAACTATGGCAACAAGTCCGGCAAGGGCAACTCAACTCCTATGTCGGAGCAACCATGCAAGTTCTTCAAGAGCGACACTGGATGCAAAGCTGGTCGAAGCTGCAAGTGGTCTCACTCTTGGGAGGGCATCGAGGACAAGAACAGTCGATGCTGGATCTGTGGCGGCAAAGATCACAGAAAAACGGAATGCAAAGTCAAGGGCAATGGCAACAACTACAAACCTTCGTCCAATGACTCTGGTTTGGGGGGAGGACGTGGTGGTGGAAATCAAAATGCAGCCACCACCAAGCGGCTGTCAAGCAAGCTTCAGTTGGAAAAGGTCATGATAGTGTAGCTGCAAGCTCAACAACTGATCAAACTTCCTCCAGTACAAGCGCTGATGGTCCAGGACTGGGTGCTGAGAGTAACTCCCTTGGGGCTTCATCTAGTGCAACATCGGAGGTGGATAAGGGGGGAGCTCCAGCTGCCACTCCTGCGACCACTGAACTGTTGGCAGAAGCCACTCAGTTGCTGAAGTCTTTGCGTATGCCCAACCTGAAGGTGATGCGACTGTCAAAGTTGGAGTCTCATGCTCAAATGGTGTTGCTGGACTCTGGTGCAACACATGGCCTACGTCCTGCAGCTTCAGAAGAAGAATGGCAGTCTGGCACAAGAACTCAGGTGATGTTGGCCGATGGTGTCACAGAAAGCCTCCGTTTGAAGCCTGGCACCAAAGTTTTGCTTTCCGACCCTCTCCTTCGGCCTGAAAATACCTCTTGGATCGTTCCAATGGGATGCTTGAACGAGCTCAACTACAAGTTGGTGTGGAAAGACCACATGTGCCATCTCTACACAAAAGCTGGAGACAAGGTCGACGTGGAACTTCACAATGGATGTCCCTACGTTGCTCATGAATTTGGAGCAAAGCTGCTGACGGTGTTGGAACAGCATCAAATTCAACAAGAGCTGAAGAAGATGACCTTGAAGTCTATCTTGACAAGAGGGGCTGCCGGTCTTGGCAACAACATGAGCATTGAAATGGCGATGCTTGTCAAGCTCAAGGAGGTCATGCCGACTTTGCCTGAAGATTTGGCGTTGAAGCTGGTCCCAGATCTCTCAGTGCTCACGGACCCCAACATCGGCTTGAACCTTCCATGGAATCGCAGAAAGCGAAAAAGACTTATGATGGCAAAGAACGTGATCATCCACATGTACAGTGGACCTGATGCTTCTTACTGGGAGCGGCGTTTGTCAAATGAGCACACTGAGGTGCTGTGCGTGGACTTGGAAGCTTCAACACCTTCAAATGCTTTGGATGAAACAACCTTTGCGTTTTTGCTTTCCTTGTGCGCCAGCAAACGTGTCAAAGCTCTACTTGGTGGTCCTCCATGCAGAACAACAAGTGCTCTCAGGTTTCAAAAAGATGATGGTCCACCAATTCTTCGAACAGAAGATCACCCATACGGTTTGCCATCTTTGACTCCACAACAAGCTGAATTGGTCACCAATGACTCAATTCTGTGGCTCCGGTTGATGCTGATGTACATCCTCTGCGAAGAAGTGCGTCCAAAAGAACAAGCTCAAACTGCATTTCTTTGTGAACAACCTCAAGACCCAGCGGAATACCGCAAGAAGGAGGATGTGGATGAGCACCAGTACTTTTCAATGTGGAGAACTCAGGAATGGAAAAGCTTCCAAGAAGCCTACAACGCCAAGCTGATCTCCTTTGATCAAGGGCCTTTTGGACACCCAAAACGAAAGCCAACCACTTTGGCCTTGATCAACATGAATGAGATGATGCAGCTACAAGATGTGAGAGGTCGTGGAGCTGAACCTGAAGTTGCTCCGCTACCAGAACTCAGTGTGAAAGAAAGATGTGCTATGTCAAAAACTTGGGCGGCTTGGGCACCTGGTTTGAAGGCTGCAGTTGCTGAAGCAATCAGCAGATGGATCCGCCGTGAAGCGCCTCCACGTGAAGGACCTGAAGATCCTACTGGCGTTGTTTACGCCGAAGACGATGTCCGACCTATTGGTGTCGCTGCAATTGGAAATGTTGCCCTTCAACAATGGAAGCAACACTACATGCAGGACCACATGCCGGCCCGTCGAGATTGCAGCCACTGTGTACGTTCTCAAGGTCGCAGTCGAGCACATCGCCGAGTTTGTCATCCTGAAAGCTTCACTTTGAGCTTGGACATGTCTGGTCGGATGACTGGTGGCAAGGACCAAACTCCTGGTACCAACAAATACTTCTTGGTTGGAGTTTACACATACCCCGTCAACAAAAAGGGGAAACCACTCTTGTTGCGTCCTGACCAAGATGAAGAGGAAGATCACCCTTTGCCTGGCCTTGATGACCCAGAGCTCTCTGGTGATCCTCAAGAACAACAACCTGGAGATGGTCAACCACCTCAACAACATGTTGAACGAGATCAACAACAAGCGGGCCATGAAGCTCAACATGAACAAGGTCTTCCTGCAGGTGTTGCACAAGATGAACCTGATCCTCTCCAAGAAGAATCGGTTCCTGACCTTGTGGAAGATGAAGAAGTGAAGTCAGCCTATGGAATGCACGACACTTGGATGCGTCTCATCAATGACTCCAAGGATGTCACTGTGCGCAACCTCACTTTTGCGGAGCCCATTGCAGATCGAAATGTGCACAACGTGCTGCCAGCGATCGCCAAGATCTATGCTCGTTTGCGCTCTTTGGGTTGCCCTGTGTACCGAATGCACAGTGACCGTGCACGTGAATTTTTGGCAAAACCTGTCCATCAATGGTGTCTTGACCGTGGAATAGTTCAAACTATGACACCTGGCAGTGCTTTCAAAACAAACGGCAGAGCTGAAAACGAAGTTGGGATTATCAAAAAAGGTGTCCGCACTTTGATCTCTGCTGGAGCATGCCCTTTGGACAGATGGCCTCTTGCGGTGCGACATGTTGGAGAAAGACGTCTCCGCAATCAACTCAACCAAGCAGGCTGGCCAGTTGGAAAACTTTTGAGGTTTGGCTCCAAAGCCTATGCCCTCAAGAAAAGCTGGCAAGATCGCTGCGCTCAATGGCGTGATTGCCGAGAAGAAGTTGTGGTGTGGGGCCCCGCTGAAGGATCTTCTATAACCACCACAACATACTATGTCAAAGCAATTGCAACGGAAAGGTGCTTCTACACTGATGATGTGGTGATTCCTGCGGATGATGGCATGAATGCAGCTGTCGATGCTGGTCCCGGGGGAGAAGTTTTGCCATATCTCCCTGAACGTGATGAAAGACAAGCTCAACCGCTTTTTTGTGATGGTGTGCCAGCACGAAGATTGAGATCAAAGACGGCTCCGCCACCAGCAATTGCCACTATGTCAATGTTGCACATTGAGGGGGAGAAGCGCATCCTTGCAAAGTTTGGCAGTGTATTTGAGTTTGCGCTGCCGCCTGACAATGAAGTTGCCTCTGAAGGTTCATGGACTTTGGAAACAACGCTTTCTCCAGCACAACAACATCCACCTCAAGAACAACAAGAGGTTCATGATGCTCCGCTACCAGGGCATGATGATGAAAAGGATGGTGATGGGGGGCAAACAGAAACTGATGAAGTTCATGATCAAAAGGAGGAGGAAAGTGATGTGGAGGAGGATTTGGGGGAGGCGCCTAACAGCAGAGACGGTGGCTCAAGCTCTGCGGCCTCAAATGTATCAAGAAATGTTCTGGTTAGAATGTCAAAGATACAAGCCCTCCAAACCATCCACGACAATGTCTCGGACTATATAGCCGAGGAGATCTGCAAGCTTGATGGCACCTTCCCTGAACAAATGTGGTGTCTCCCTGAGCTCAACAAAGCTCTGGTTAGAAAGGTTGAAGTTGAAGAGCAAATTCAACTACTTGCGGATGAAGATCGAGCTGAAGAACAACAACAATTGACCCATGAGTTTTTGGTCACCAAAACGGTCAGCAACAAAGAGGTTCGTGAAAACCTTGCCGATTGGACTGAATCCATCAAGGCCGAGTATGAGCAGCTTGTCGTCAACAAAAAGGCTGTCAAACCAATGACAAGAACGGAACTCCAAAAAATGGCTGAAGTGCAGAACAAAACTTTGGAGATCCTTCCAGCAAAAATGGTTCACACTAGAAAAGCTGGATCAGGAGCATACCGTTCAAGAGCAGTGGTGTGTGGAAACTACCAGACACCGAATGACGACAACACGTACGCTGGAGGTGCTGATGCAACACAGATCCGAACAATGCTAAGGATCAGTGCTCAGTACAAGTGGAAAGCTGCTTCAACTGACATACGAACGGCGTTCCTCAATGCGCCGAGAAGAGACTCCAGACTCATAGCTATGGAAGTGCCGCATGTGTACAAAATGTTGGGCCTGGCTGGACCTGATGAAGTTTGGCTCATCATGCTTGCAATGTACGGACTCCAGGCTTCACCAAGGGACTGGTGTCTTCACCGTGATGCAGTTTTGCCAACGCTGAAGTGGACAAGGCAAGGTCCAAATGGGTTGCTGACTGGAGGTTTTGAGAAAACAAAAGATGAAAATGTTTGGCGCTTGGAAGAACTGGATGAATCTGGCTTCATCCACTGGAATGGCCTCATGTCGGTGTATGTGGACGACATATTGGTCACTGGTGAAGAGTTCGCAGTTCATGGCGCTCTACAAGCCCTTTCTGGAGTTTGGACAACATCTTCTGTGGAGTGGGCTGGTGTTGACAAGCCTCTCAAGTACTGCGGTTTTGAGATTTCTGAAGATGCCAAAGGCGATGGTTTTCATGTCAACCAGCACATGTACGAGCAGGAGATGTTGCAACGTTGGAATGTTGATGAAGGAGTTGAATATCCTCACTACAAAGTTGCTGAGGATCAAGAAGTTGAAGAAAGCCCTGACCCAAATGATGTCAGGACAGCTCAAGCTATGGCTGGTTCTTTGCTGTGGTTGAGCTCCCGAACACGACCTGACCTTGCTCATGGAGTTGCAACAATGAGCAGGCTTATGACAAAGGCTCCTGTCAAAGCCATTCAGATCGGCACAACGTTGATGAAATACGTCAAGGGAAACCCTGGCGTTGGTTTGAGGTACACAACACATGTTCCCGATGACTGGGGCGCCCATGGCCAGCTGAAGGTGAAAAGAAGTGACCTGCTCCTGGAGATCTTCTGCGATATTGCCTACTCAGCAGGTTCTGGCCATAGAAGCGTCCAAGGAATAGTTGTTTGCCTGGGTGGTCAGCCGATCTGTTGGCAGACGAGCCAACAGCCTTTTGTGACACACAGTACGGCTGAAGCTGAGTTGGTTAGCTACTGTGAAGGCCTGATCGCTGGCAAGGCAGCTGAAGCTTTAGTGAAAGAGCTCACAGGTGTTACAGCTGTGATGAAAGTCATCTATGGTGACAACATTGCCGCGATTGGACTGGCCAATGGAACTACAGCTTCTTCTTGGCGAACAAGACATTTGCGCATCAGAGCAAGTCTTTTGAAACAAGCGCTGGATGAAACTGATGCAGCTGGAGGCCAATGGAAGCTGATCCATGTGCGTGGCCTTGACTTGGTTGCTGATGGTTTTACAAAGCCTCTTTTTGGAGCTGCCTTTCAACGTTTTGTGGAAAATCTAGGCATGAATGCGCCGTTTTTGAGGCCCGAAGACGCTGAAATACGTGCTGCTCAAGTGCGAAGCCATGGCAGCAGAGAACGTGTCCATGCTGGTGCAGCTTCTGCAATGAGTTTTTTGGTGGGGCAGACTCTTTTGGCCGAAGCCGAAGCTTTGGAAATCAAGGGAGAACAAGATGAAGCGGATCCACTTTGGATTGCTGCGGTGGTTTTGATGATCCTGGGGGCAATCTATGCTGGCAAGCTAGCAGTTCAAGCTGGTCAATGCTGCATGCGTCGATTGCAAGTGTGGTTGTCAGCGCCGTCAACGCCCTCTGGTGAGATGCAAGCTTCTTCAACATGCTCCACTACCAAAAAGGATGATGAAAATGATGATGAAAGAAGATCTGGGTTGAGGTGGCGAGCGAGCACTTCAAGCAGTTCTGGCCCTGTGCAGGCCCCTTCAGCAGGATCTTCGAATAGCGTTGGCCCTGCGCAGGCCCTTTCAGCTGGATCTTTGAACATTGGCCCTGTGCAGGCCCTTTCAGCTGGATCTTCAAGTGCTGGCCCTGTGCAGGCCCCCATCGCTATGTCCTTGCGTGTGTCTGGCCCTGTGCAGGCCTCAAGTTCAACGTCTACAGTCTCCATAACTGCCGAGAGTGCTGGCCCTGAGCAGGCCCATTTTGCTGGATCTGGTGTTGGCCCTGTGCAGGCCAGGCGATCTACGAATGCGGCTGCAGGAGCGTCTTCGAGCAGTGCTGGCCCTGTGCAGGCCTCTTCTTCAAGCAGCGCTGATCTTGGCCCTGTGCAGGCCTTGCGACCTACAAGTGCGGCTGCTGGTGGATCTATGAGTTTTGGCCTTGTGCAGGCCTCTGCGGCTTCTTCAGGTCCTGAGCAGGCCTTTGCGGCTGACGTGTCTGGCCTTGAGCAGGCCCTGAGCGCTGTGGCAGAAATCTCTGGGCATGCTGCTGCTGGTGGCAACATTGAGCGCGCATTGCAGCGGCGAGCAGCCGAAGTGAGCGAGGCACTTTTGGGTGGTGAAAGGTCTGAAATGACTTTACATAACCCATGGAATCTTTTTCAACATGAACATAGAGGCAAGGGATGGTCGCCTGCAAAAATGTCGGCGATGTATAAAAAATGGAAAGGTCATCCCGGAAAGGATAAAATGCCTTGAGCCTACAAATTTTAGGTCCTTTAATTTTGTCTTGAAATTCAAATTTCAAATTCAATGCGTTTTCGGCAGGGAGCCGATCTGTCCTTCGAATCGTGCAAATCACGATTGGGGGAGTCTGTCAGGTGCGATGGATGACACGCACAAATCACAGAAGTGCACCTGTATTACCGCAGGCATTTTGGTTTGGAAAACAGGCACGGGCTTTGTCGTTGTCAAGATGGGAAAGTGATGGAACAATATGGGAAAGTAATGGAACAATATGGGAAAAAGATGGGAAAATCGGGAAAACATGGGAAAGTGATGGGAAAAATATGGGAACATATGGGACATGACCCGTTTAGTTCGATGATCTACCTATGAACAGGGTGATTCTCTACACAAGCGCAGGTTTGGCGGTATAATGAGATATTATGGCGATATAATGAGGTACTGAAAGATCTGAAAGGATATTGATAAATATTATATAATGAAATATTCAAACGGAATATTGGTTCATCTGGTAATCAAACATGGCTAGCTTGAAATTCTAATGGAGGCTTTAATGGCAAAATCACCGAGCGAAATGGGTGATATTGGAGGGTAAGTCCCCTTGAAGAAAAGAATAGCAACCACAAAAAAATAGAATAATAACTTTTTTGGTGGGATGCATTTTCCTGATTGGTTACTAGACAACAAAACCTTGATGAAGTTAAGACATACCAAATTATATAACTATATATTCTAGTGACTCCTATTGACTATGATAAAAGTCAATAAGCAAATAATATCAAATGAGCAAATAATCCAATAATAAGACCAAAAGGAGACAATCAATGCGGCATTGGTACAATCAACAAATATGCTGAACTGGTACAGTAACGAACTAAACGAAGGAGAAATAAGGAGAAGCAAGCAATACTAACTAGCATTGACCACTGATATCAAGATAGATATTGTCATATGGTTTTGTAAGTGTTTGTCTGAAAATAGGATACCCCCAGATCCATTGGAGAAACATCCTTATCTCTAGGGGAAAAAAAAAACATGTCGGGGCCCAGTAGGCAGGGGGTATGCGGTCGGGTCAGCCCTGCCCCATTTTCAGACACACCCATATTCCATCATATCATTGGCTAGTATGTGCCATTATACCCCCTTATACCCCATTACATCCCCATTTATATAGGCATGTAAGTATACATATAAATGTAATATGTATGTATAGATGATTTCCCCATTAGTTTCTCCATGAAATCCCCATCCGGTTCCATTATTCATTTGAGTCGGCGACCCTTGACTTTTTCCATGACATCAATGATATCCCCTGTTGTTGGTTAATACATCCCGGGAAATTTAAACATTCATAGATGCATAGATTATTTTCCAACTATTTCCCCTACGTATTTCCATCTTCATTCCTTAAATCCAAATGTCGATGGCAAATCTTTCATGATTACTCATGGTTAAAATCTCCACCTTCAATGAAATATCACCAATGATATTTGCTAAAACCCAGCAATGAACCATAAACGGGGTGCTATATGGTGCTATAAACCATCCCCCAAATGGTTGACCACACTCGATGATGACAAGCGTCGCTTCCGCGACACGCACCCTTCTTTGCAGCGCGTGCTCGTCCTCCGCCTCAGCTGCCTCCAAACGATCCGGCAGCCTCGCGCCGAGGGATCTGGCGATTCTTGGGTGAAAAAACCTCTATATAATTCTATATATATTATATATACATGTATGTATGTATGTATGTATGTATGTATGTATGTATGTATGTATGTATGCATGTGTATATATATATATATGTATCTCCAAATAAAATAAGGCTTAAAGGATTTGGTGATATTGTTTGGGCGTCGCTAGCCGCTCGCCACAATTTCTGGGCTTATGGTCGGATTTTTGTCCGGGAGGGTTGACTCACACGACCGAAACCGAGAATTCGGTCAGTAAACAGTCGGAATCGGATTTATAATTCATATACCCTCCAGTAAATGAACATAGACCCTGGCAGATAGGGGTTGGAAGATTAGTGTCCATTAAAACTAGGCTATTTTCAGGGTCTATGTTAATTTACCAGAGGGTAACCCAAAAAATACCACAGGCGTCACTCATTTCAATTGACTATCTACTGTAGTCTTTTGGGACCTTCTCAGTTTTTCACAGATGTGTACGCCATTGTGTAGGCCATCGGTCCAGGGATGAGCATCCATTGGATAATGCCAGAAATCTACCGACAAACCTTCAGGATACACACCTCCTTCGTATAAAAAGAAGTCAGTCATATCAAATATATTGAACTGATGTTTGTCATGTCCATTCCCCAACATCAACCAACAACAAGCAAGTATAGTACGTCGTAATATTGTCGCTGTCTCATAGGTGCGCCGCTAAGATTCTAGATGTACTGAGATGCAATTCAGCTTATTTCAGCTTCATGCTTTCACAATCCAAGGGCTCCATCTCAACGAAAAATCAAGGTGGTCCCACTGAAACACGAAAAGGACATTTCATGACATGTTCATATAAAAAAATACAACCCCCAAAAAGATAGAAAGTAATGGATCACTACTGTATTAGTTCCTGTATATACTATATTAGATAGTGATCCATTAGATAGTGTATTAGATAGTGATCAGATATATTAGATCACTATAAAAGATCACTACTGTATTAGTTTAGTATATAGGATGTTACGTTCCTGTCCTAAATTGGGACCTGTTCCCGGCGGGACCCCCGGTGCCTATCAGCCAGCACTGTTCCCACCATTCCACTGGTGCCAATGGTCAGGGCTTTTAGGCCTTGCACCTGACATCGTTGAAATGGCTAAAACGTGGCTAAAACATGGGTTGAAACCTGGTTAAAACATGCTAAAACCTGGTTGAAACCTGGTTAAAACATGGTAAAACCTGGTTGAAACCTGGTTAAAACGTGGTTGAAACATGGTTGAAACCTGGTTAAAACATGGTAAAACCTGGTTGAAACCTGGTTAAAACATGCTTGAACCAGCAGGGTAAAGAAAAAGATATGAAAAAGATGTCCATCTATTTGGATGGTATGTCTTGTGCTCAATTTCTGGTGGTCATGGTACCTTCAAACATACTGTTGAACATCCCCTCTGTAAAATAGAAGGGGTTCATAGATATGAATGGAGTGCCTGCATTTTGCCACACCTTTCAGAGAAACCGAAGGTGGAGATAGCTGACCCACTCACTCCGTTCATTGCAGCTCAGCCAACCATGAAATTCAATGGTGTTCCTCTGACATGTTCAGTCAACAAACCCATCCACCACCATCCGTCAGGGCAAATGATCATCGTTCACTAACCTCAAAGGGCGTTTGGAGATACCCTCTGGTAAACTAACGTAGCTATGGAAAATCACCATTTTTAATGGGAAAATCCACTATAAATGGTCATTTTCAATAGCTATGTTAAATTACCAGAGGGTAGTTGCTGCTTACATGTCCCATCATTCCAGTGATGTCGCGACATGAGATCGTCAGGCTTGAAAAGAATCCAGACTATCCCCATGATGTCCCAATGATAAATATCAATATCCCATGATATTCCCACTATATTCCCTATATATCCAGCAAAAAAGTGGTGATCTTTCAATTTCTGACATGGTTTCTGACCTGGTTTCTGTACCGCCCACCCGCACCTCGACATCTTCCCCCAAGCCATCCATGGCGCGAAGTCCATCGTGACCCAGGCAGCCGAGAGCCTTGGCTGCGGCCTCCCGCACCGAGCATTCCGGGTCCTGGATGGAGGAATTGACCCCGGAAACGGGGGAAAAAGTTGGGAAGTTCATCAAGACATTTGAGAAATAGTGGATTCAAATGGATTTCACCAAGCAAACTTGGAAATGAACCAAGATTTTGGAATTCTCGTTGAAAACAGCGATTTCTACTGGAAGCTAGTCCCATGCCCATACCCGTCATGCAAAACCTCGTGATAGGGAAGCCAACATAAAATTAAACAGATCCACTGTGATCCACTCCTAAACCACTCCTAAACCAAGGTGCATCAGGGTTTTTACGGGTATCCGGGGGATGAAGGGCCTTCGCACCCCATTCTGTTTGATGATCTTTTCAATCTATTCATAGCTTCCTTTCCTGTAGCTTCCAGCAATTTGACCGTGGCTATCCAATGTTATCATATGTTATCCATACCTAGTGCCCTGGAGGAACATCTATCAACCTACAGGTTCTGGACGGGAATCTGACCCTCCAGTAATCTAAGAAACATTCTCTTGACCATCCGACAATAACCACTGAACCGTTTATTGGTTGAAGGATTCAGTTCACCATGGAAAGATCCACCATTTTTAAGGTCGGTCAACCATCTATTTCGATTAGGGCCATCTATACCAACCATGGCGAACTGTTAGTCATAACCAGAGGGTAGATCTTTCTGTTATATCCCACAGAATGTTCGCAGAAATCCCATGATCATCCCCATAAGGAAGAATCCCCAGAATTGGCCAGTGGATTGGCCAGTGAATATTCTGAAAAAATCAGCGAATCATAGCTAATCCATGCTAATCCCTATTACATCCCATTAAAATCCCATTAAAATCGTTAAAATCCCATTAAAATACCATTAAAACACCATTAATATCCCAGTAAAATCCCATCAAAATCCCATTGATATCCCATGAAAGTCACCAAAAATAGTTGGATCCCATGACTTCCGGGCCCCTCCCATCGCCTTCTGCACCAGCCGCAGTAGCCGTGGCAAGGCTCTGGAGGCCTTTGCCACCGAAGGGCCGAAGTTCAGCAGGGTCTCCGCGGCGGCTTTGCGCCCCGAGGCCTGCGACGTGGCGAGGTCGCTATGAAAAGTGAGGGAAGGTGGAAGTCTTCACAACTCAACCAAAAGCACAGTGGTGATACCAACCCAAAATGGCAATTTACAGTTGATTTTCCCATTAAAAATGGTGATTTTCCATAGTTTACCAGAGGGTAACAATGTAGAAAAACATGAAGAAACAAACTCTGGTTGGTGGTTTCAACCCCTCTGAAAAATATTAGTCAATGGGAAGGATTATCCATTATGGAAAATTAAAAATGATCCAAAGCACCAACCAGTGTACCAAGAATGAATTCTTCAAGAATGACATGTTCAAAAGGCGAATTAAGAACAAACAACTCCAAGCAAAAGCAACAGCAAATATACCCCAAACTACCCTCTGGTAAACTAACATAACTACGGAAAATCACCATTTTTCATGGGAAAATTCACTATAAATGGTGATTTTCCGTAGTTATGTTAAATTACCAGAGGGTAGGTCCCAAAAAATCCAAAAAGCGACCCGTTTCCCAGATCCACCTCCGGGTCTCGAAGACACCCGGCCACGGCTTCCACGATGTGAGCAGCGCGCTCACTGGAGGCAGTCTCCAACATGGCCGGCCCAAACCTGGAGGACACGATTTCTGGGATGCACCCCTTAAGACCCCACAACGAAACTTGGGCAAAATGCGGGATATTCCCCCAATTCCAAAGCAATCAGAGGCTACCTGGCTACGGCCAGGAAGAGAATCATAGAGGTGCAGATTGCCACGAGATGGACAGAGGTGCTTTCAGAAACCACCTGAAGCAAATACATCTTGGTCTGGATTCCAAGAATGTACAGCAGTAATACTGCAGTAATCAAAGTGATCATTCAATGAGGAAATAGGCTGGGAATGATGGGGTCAGCATTCCAGAGAAAATACCGTTCCAGGCCATGAGGTCAAATGAATGAGATTCCCGAGTGGTTGGCTGCGTTCGATCTGAAACGCCACATCTTGTGTCATCTGGCATGCCTTTGGAGTCTATGTGTTGCGATCTGCTTCGCAATGTAAACCCATTCCAAAGATCAAAAGCACAAGCACTACACGAGCAACCAATTGGGACCACCATATATCAGCATACATCATCATCCCAAATCCTTCAGTGATATACACTCCTGAAAACTAACATAGATGTGGACAACCTACCATGTGCAGATCATTTTCCAAGGGAACCCATGGGTTTTCCACATCTGTGTTCTGTTAGTTTACCTTACCCACAGTTGCTGGCCCTGGCACTCAGCCAGCAACCCCAGGCCACGCAGGCGACTGGACAAGGCCTCTTGTCCTGAAACCATGTGCGGTGATGTGTGGCCATAGGGTGGCCCCTCCAATGCATCAACACTTGTCCCATAAATGATGAAAATTGTCAAAAAGAACTACAACTTTGCCACCAAGGCATCAAAAATCCGATTCCAACTCAGAAAAAAAGAAAACCAATTCTAAAAACTGGAACCATACCACCCCCCAACCCCCCAACCAACCAACCAACCCCAGCCACCCCATCCCCAGCATCCCCAGCTCCTTCCGCCTCCGGCAGCAGCAGCTCCACCGCGGCGCCCCGTTGCACCAGCCACGCCGCCGCCGCCGCGGCCGGCGCCGCGGCGAAGCCCCGGGAGGCGCCACGGGACCAGGCCACCATGGCCTGCGCCTCCGTGCGGCTTAGCAGCACTCCTTGGGTCGCACACGGTGGGCTGGGAATATACATAAATGAAGATATATATATATATATATGGATAGATGTCTATGTTATATGTGGTAAACCCAATTATAATGGAATATATATATATAATGGAATATGGATGGGGTAATAGCGAGGAATGTAACAGATAGTGCGGGAACATGGTAACAGTTGCAGGGAAAAAACAAGCTGTTAGTAGAACAACTATTGGAACTAACCAGCTAGTGTAACAGTTGGCTACGGAAGCCATGGCCCATCCATAATTCGATAATTTACCAAACTGAAAATTGTGATTTTCCATAGCTCTAAATGAACTGGTTTCCGAAAAACATGCAAAAACCTATGGGAAATCTCTAGGTTTCCCTATCGGAAATGATCTACCAATAGTGGATTTTCCATAGCCATGTTAGCTTACTGGAGGGGCTTACGGGGAATGAGCATAATTATGCACAAGAAATGAGAGTTCTATAAATGTAATAGATAGATATATTGTGATATACTATAGATATATATGTGTGTGTGTGTCTTTAACCTCCACTGGTGCTGTTTTTGAATCTCACAAGCCCGCCCAGCCAACCAAAGCAGGAATCGCATACAGCGGCTCACTTTCTTCGGTCTAAACTTGAAAAACTAACACCGCCACTTTTGCAATCCACCATGCAAGAAGATAGATACATGATTGTAGAATAAACATATTCATCATCACATCATCCCTTCAATTCTTGTCTAATTAGGTCCTAAACATTTGTGCAAACAAAAGGTACCCTCTGGTAATTTAGCATAGCTATGGAAAATCACCATTTTTAATGGGAAAATCCACTATAAATGGTCATTTTCAATGGCTATGTTAGTTTACCAGAGGGTATTGAACGTGGTGAACAACGATATCCTGGCAGGTTGGGTGTGGGGCTCCTCTGGCGTCGTCCGTGCGCTTGTGCTTCTTCGCAGGCTTGAAGCCCTCCGAGGACTGCGCATCGCTGCACATCTCCTTAAATGCACAGTGGTGATACCAACCCAAAATGGCAATTTACAGTTGATTTTCCCATTAAAAATTGTGATTTTCCATAGTTTACCAGAGGGTAACCATGTAGAGAAACATGAAAAAACAAACTCTGGTTGGTGGTTGAGCCACCCCTCTGAAAAATGATGGAGTTCGTCAGTTGGGATGATGACATTCCCAATAAATGGAAAAATAATCCAAATGTTCCAAACCACCAACCAGATAATTATTACATAAATGCATCTATCACTAACAACAATCACTGAGATAAACAGGACAAAAGTTGCAGCAACTCCAACCTTCCTTTTCTCCAGCCAAATTGGAAGGCTGTGTGGCTCTGGGTTTCACAATGTCCAAAAGCAGCATCTGGCAATTGTCCATTGATTTTCTTTTGCAGCATCTAAGAAGAGACATCAGGGCAGTCAGTGTAAACCAATCGACGCGCCTTGAGGGTGTCTGCCAAAAAGTCCTCATTGAGACCCAACTGTTCGGCCTCAGTCAAGCTTTGACGCGCCAGGAGAACAGACCTGGATGGGTCAAACATCCCAAGAATTTGGGAGTTGCATGCGCCCGTGAAAACTCAAATGGAACCCCTTAAAATTGCCATCCCAATAATCTACAAAAACAAAACAACATCTTCCAACCAAGCTCCACCAAAAAAATGGGAAAATCATTGAGAGCCAGTATCTCACCATCATTTTCCTAGGGTTTTTGTCAAATTCTATCCTTTTTGCAGGTCCCTTGGGGTCCCTTGGTGCTGCCCCAGAGACCGATTCCTGGTCGCCATAGATGGCCTTGAGGATGCGCATGCGCCCAGTGCGGCAGGCAATACGAAAGGCCTGCTGTTTGGCCTCGGTCAGGGGTCGTTGATGATGGCTTTGAGATGGGTACATATGATGTATTGCAGTTTGAGCATTCTGAATGTCATACAAAAATAACCCAAAAGTATCTCGCATATATATATATATATATATCATTATCATACAAGATATCCATATAACCATATGGCTAATATATATATATATATATATATGTGGTTGGTGGTTTGAACCCCTC